CTCTGGTGAATCCCACACCCCCCACACCTTTCGCCTGCACCCCAGTTAATATATGCATAAATAAATCTTTAAGAAACAAAGAAATTAGCTATAAAGGAGAATCATGTCGACATTAACCATCTCAGTAAGAATTCTAGATACAAAATGACAATGGTTTAATGTTTTTTACTGCTGAGGTTAAAGAACTTTAAGCCTATCCTTTCTTTTCAGTTCAACTATCATTTGAGTACAAGATGCATTGTGAAATACTTCAAACTGCAGAAAGTTTACTATTCAAAGCCTATCTTTGAAAATACTCTTGGAGGAAATATTCCAAAAAGAATGGAATAAACTGAGGAGGCTTCTGTGTTTGGAAATGTATAGGAAGTAAGAGTGGATAACTGACTCAGTAAATTTTACTGTTATTTAAATGATAAAGTATTCAAAAGAAGTGGATAATAGTAATTCAATTTTATATATTAGAAAATGAAGTGGGGTTGATTGTGGCAAAGGAAATGAGAATATGCTTCATAGTGACTGAGGTATTTTAAATATTTTCAAGAAGGAGAAGTAAAAATACAGGTCTTAGATTTTTTAAAAAAAATATTTCAAATCAGTAGAGAGAAACTTGATCTATTTACTAGAAAGCAAAACAGAAGGGAGAAAAGGAAAGTAACATATAGTGAATGAAACAATGGAATAAGATCGCTGTTAGCTCAGGCTGCTAAAATAAAATAACATAGATTGAGTAACTTAAGCAACAGACGTGTGTTCACAGTTCCATGGGCAGGAAGTCCAAACTCAAGGTGCTAGCAAATTCTGCGTGCAGTGAGACTCACTTCCTGAAGTTCAGGCAGCCACTTTCTCGCTATGTCCTCAGTATCCTTCCCCAGTGCTTACTCAAGAGAGAGCTCTTGAGTCCACTGCTTCAGAAGGCCCCCATCCCATTGTTAGGGCACCCCCCTTGTGACCTCATCTAAACCTGTATCTCCCAAAGTTCCCACTCCCAGCAACATCGCATTAGGAATTAACTTTTCGACATGGGTTTTAGGAGGCAGGAGAGGTAATACAGTCAGCCCATATCAAGGGAAGAAATAAATCCCAATATAATATAATCAATGTAACTGTGTTGAAGTCAGCAACTAAAATGAGAATCTTAAATCGGAAAAAGAACAGACCCAACAATATTTTGTCTACAAAAGACAGAGGTAACACAAAAGGTTGGAAAAACTTGAAAACAAAGAGTTAGAGAATTATACACTGGGAAATGAGTGGGGGGAAAAAAGCCAGGATAGCAATTTTAATGATGTAAAATATAATTAAAACAAAATATCACAAGACAAAGAGCAATTCACTAGATAAAAAACACTTCATGGCAATGAAATAATTACATTTTATAAAAACAGCCTCAAAATAGTTAAAATAAGGAAGAACTATAAAAGCAATTTGTTATCAACTTTTGTAAGCAGAAAGCTTACCTCTGTTATAAGCTGAGTTCAAATGACAGAGCTAATTCACTGATCAAATAGATGAAAAGAAAACTTCTATAAGTGTATTTTACATAATCTATAATCTTGAATACAATGTTTTGATGTAACTGATAAGCTAAAAGATTTGATTAAATGCAAAGGGGTATAGAACAATAATATAAAAATCGCAAAGATTAATAAAGCTAAACGCTATTAGGACTAATAGCATTCATTAATAAGGTCCAAATAAGATATAGAACAAAGAAAGTGCAACTACAATTATAGCACAGTTTTTAAAATAATATAAACTATATCCCAACAGTGGTGAAAACTTAGGCAAACTAAAATTCTAGGAAAAATCATTGCCTGTATTAGCAAAAGAATTGAATAAGCATTAAAGATATTTAAATAGTAATAAAAGATTCCCTCTTCAAGAGAGACTTGCATTTGGTTTAATAAGAGTGCTAATAAGATTTTTTTGTAAAAGACTTATTTATACATACATAACTGGGGTACAGGCCAGAGGCATGGGAGCGGGAGTAGTGAGAAGATTCACCAGAGACAGAGTGGGGAGCAGAACAGGCTGACTGACAAGTACACTGCTGAGGGGAGCAGCGGGCGGGTCAGGAGAGGTCTGCCACGCCATGTGGGTCACCTCCCTGGCGGGGGATTGAAATTGTGCTGCAGTGGGTGCAGTAACTTCACAGTGCTATGCTTTAACCCATTGCACCCATGGCCCTGATAAGCTTTTTTTTTTTTTTTAAGATTTATTTATGCGTACAGAATTGGGGTACAGGCCAGAGGTGCAGGGGTGGTGAAAGGATTCACCAGAGACAGAGTGGGGAGCAGAACAGGTAGATTGTCGAGAGGTCTGCTGTGCCATGTGGATCAGCTCTCTGGCCTGGGATCTAACTGGAGCTGAAGTGGCTGCAGCTAGCTTCACAGTGCTGTGCTTTAACCTGTTGTGTCACCAGGGAGGGCCCCCTAATAAGCTTTTAAGGAACAGATAATCTTAGCTTACAAAGGTGTTGCAGAAAGTAGAAAAAGAACTGTTTGACTCAATTATATAATTAATGGAACCATGATTTAGTAAAATAAAGAGCCCCATGGATTTATGATTCTTAATACAAAATCTTATTATATGAAATATTAACTTACTAAACCCAACACTTTATTATAATAAAACATAAATTAAGCAATGCAAAAATGGTATGATACCAGCATTTTATTAATGTAACTTACATCTACAGTGGAACAAAGATAAAAGGAATGTGATTTTCAATAGATGCAAAAACAAATCACAGTAAATTTAAAAACATTTGCATAAAATAGCCTTTAAAAGCTAGAACAAATAGGTTTAAATGAAGGAAATGTCTAAGCACTCTGTATAATACTGCTAACACAGAAATATCCATTTTTGTGACTACTCTCGACTGTATAATAAAGGTCTTAGCCCACAAGTAAACACAGAAAATAAGATGCATAGATGTTGGAAGGAAGAAAAAATATCACTTAAAACTGACAATAATATAGAATTTATAATTCAAGCCAGTAGATTTAATGAGAGCACATTTTACTATTGTTCTCTAATAATATAATAAAATATAAGACATAACATTTGAAAATATAGGCATTCATCAAACATATTTACAAGCTGCCTATGGTAAAAATATGTCCTAGTAAAGAACGAAAATTATGCAAGCTGATAGATGTAGGATCTTTTGCTTTGTAAAACATCACAAGAATATCAGTTTTCCACAATTACAAACTGGTGCATTTTCATTCAAAATTTCAGCAAGATGTATTGAACAATTTAACATATATAAAAAATCCAAGGTTCAGGAATAACTGAGTTCTGAAAAATAAGATGCTTATCCTACCAGACAATAGACATTACAAAGTCAGAGTATTAGAACCCTTACGCTATAAAGGAAGAACCATAAATCAGAGGAGTGGAAAGTGAATTAACAGGTTAGATGGGAAATATACAGGTAGAAATACAGTTGGGCTCTTCTACATATTCAGATTCATTTATCAACAAATTCATTGAGTAGATATACATGACGGTCTTTTTTAGACACTGGGGGTATGTCAGCAAAACAAATATCTTCGCCATTATGAAAACCCTGACCTTTGAGGGTGAAAGCACACAGGCAGCAGAGAAGCACACAAAGTAGCTTTCCTTGTGACTTATTCACAGAGCACTGCTGAAAACCCCCTGGACACCAGGAGGCATGTGAGTGACTGTGCCTGGTGCACCTTGTGAGAGTTATAATGGGAAATCCTTGAACTAATTGGTGGATCCTACTGGATTATGAAATCTATAAAACTGAACTCTGCCACACAGAATGGTTGACCACCTTTTATCTATTTATTTAGTCAAATAGGCAAAGGCAAATATTTTCATTCCAATAAATATTAGACCAAACGTTGGTTTTTGGCCATGAAGAGAGGATAAATGACTTGGGTCAACTTCTCACCTAGCCAGCTTGCCGTGGCCTCCTTTGTTGAACCAGCCATGTACTCATCAGCACTCTGAACAGGCTTCATGTCATTCCTCTGCTTGGTCATAACCACAGATTGCTATGACCCAAGAACTCACAAGGCTCATACTTGTATCTCTCTACAATGTTTTTTTCAGCCAATCAGGAATGTGCTCCTGGTCAGTGACTTCTCTGAACAGATCACAGCTCTGTGGAGCATTTTTACGACTGGAGGAAAGGACATTTCCAAACATACGTTTGTGGCACCCAGAATTTAGCTGGGAACAGGAAGCACACGTGGGACAATGTCTATAAAATCCCCACTGACATCACCGCAGAACCACAGCCCTGCTGCTGAAGTGCTTGATTCATAAATGAAATTATGAACCGGGAAATGTTGGCAGAAAAGTCAAGACTAAGAAGAGCTAGAAAGCAATTAGCCCAGGCTGGAGGAGGACGAATGGGGAGTCAGAGCCCCCCACCCAGACCAAGCAGTCCAGGCAGGTTTAGAGAGTGTGTTGAGTCTTGGGGGCTGCAACTCTGATATCTTGCTGCCCTTGCAGACATCTCTATCCATCCAGGACTCCCTCTCCCCCACCACCCCCGCCCTCAACAGAGCTGGACTGGGCAGAGAATAAATCACCTGCCCAGACACTTGTTTTGTTGGTGAAGGGACACCTGGAAGGGAAGAGGTGTGTCCAAGTGCCATGCCACAGGACAGGAGCTTGGTTTGCTGACCTGAAGCCAAGCAGGCTCTCTTCTGATTACCTGGCCCCAAGGAGAATGCCAGCCACCACTTGGTGGCAGAAACCTGAGCAGTCATGGAGAATAGGTTCAAGCTGTCTCATTCCAACTAGAAGGATGTGAGGGGAAAGGGGGTTGGGATCTGCTCATGGGGGGAGGCTGGAAGGCAGGAATACTGGGGTGATTTCCCTCAGAAGTTGGAGGACAGTGTCTTCAGTCACCCAGTCTAGGAGAGACTGAACTGTCCCCTAGAGTTCAGGGTCCAGACTACACCCACAGAAAAAGTGGGGATGCAGTGAGAACTGTCCCCCACATTTTCTCATCTTTAAGGCAACACCTGCACATAGTCATTGTTGCTGTACACGTCTTCACTGCTGCTTTGGGCGCTTTGGGCGCCTTGGGCGCTGTCCGCACTGGGGGCGCTGCTGCTGCCGCAGTTGGCATAGACATTGCCCCTCTTCGCGTAGATGCTGCCGCTCTTCCCGTACACAGTGCTACTGTTCACGTAATTGCTGCTGCTGTTCACATAAACCTCGCTTTTGTTCTCTGGAGAAAAAACAAAAGACAGAGCATTTGTGAGGCTCACGGGCCAGGAGTTGTGTTGGCCGACCCCACTCAAGGGGTGCTCTTGAGGCCACATCAAAGGGACATCTTCCAGGGCCCCCCCGGGGGAGGGCGCTCATGCAAAACAGGAGGGTCTCTATAAGTTAAGCATCACAGTTTCAGCCCAGCTGCTTCTGCTGATCAGCAGAACAACTGCGCACGCGCCTCCCTCAGAGTGAGAACTTCTATTCAGAACAGCTGAAGCTGCTTCTGAGGCGCTGAAGGGGAGAGGAGCGCGCCAGGAGGATGGCGCTCCGCTTGGGGCTGAGGACTGGGGCGCTCCCTCTGCCAGGGCTAACCTAGCGTGGACAGGGCATGTGGAGGAGGTCAAAAGAGCTTTGCTCTTGGGATGTGTGATCTTATCATGGCTGAGACAAGTACTGTCACCGCCCAGCCAGCCCACAGCAGCAGTTACTCTGGGTTTGGCTGAGGGCGTCAGCCCAGGGACATTCCTGGGGTCTAGCTCTGCCTGCCGCTGTGACACATTTCTTTCCTGTAAGTTTAGGTGGTAAATGGCTGTGGGACTGTACCAGAACTTAGCCTCTAGGAAGTGGCTTTGTGTCCATGGGCGCAAATGCCCCTGCTTAGAAGGAAGGGGGACAGAAATAATAGTAGAGGAGAGGGTTGTATTTTAAACACTAAAAACCCATGTTTCCTTTTATAGGGAGGGGGAGGGAGGAGGGGAGGAGGAGGGTTTGCCTGGCGAAAGCCTCGTTACCGGGACTAGAACCATATCATTCCACCCTGAGGAAAAGCGTTCATAGGAAATATCCCAGGAAGTCTGACTTCAGTTCAAATTACATGGTAGCTGGCATATACTAGATTATTTTCTGAAAGCGGGTTTCAGGGGGCAGGACCATAAGTAAGCAAGAGTAGCTGTTTGGTGTGTGAGTTGAGAGACCTCACCCAGCACAGGACCTCAAAGGCCCCGGGCGTCTCATTTTTCCACCAAGTCTTAATACCTTTGGGGGTGTATCTGAAATACTTTGTCCCCTAGCACTACATTTAATTATAACTTAATGATATATAAGTGCCTGACTCGTCCCCCTAATGAGTGCTTCATAAATCTTAAGCAAATTACAACAGGATGAGTCTTGGAAGGGGATGAAGCTGATCTCTCCTTTGAAAATTCTGCCTAAAAAACTCAAGAAAATTCTGCTTGTTTTTCCATCTAGTCCCACACCTAAGTGGTGTGTGCAAGGTCACAGCATGAGTTTGAAGTCGGCTGTGGCAGAGCCCCTGGGGTCACCCCTGCCTACTGACTGTTCAGGCGCAGAGTACCCCAACATTGGGTACCCTCAAGAACTCAGGACACCGCATCCCAGCAAGGCCGCACCTGCGCTGAGCAGGATGGAGCTTTTCAGCGCTCACATCATGGGAAAGGGCACCCATCTGTATTGATTCCGCAAAGTAGGCTCTTGGTGGAGGTACCTTTCCCATACCCCTCAAGTGAGCGTTTTTACCATATGGCTCTTCCAACTCTAACTTTGATCTTCTCCATCTCAGGCAGGGGCTGGTTCTCTTTATTGGCTTTATAAGGTGAATCACCAGCCCTTGGTTTGGTTTTTCATATTGGGAGACCAATTCCTTGAGGCTTGAATAGCTATTTTTTTTTTCACCTTCAGCAGTCTGCAAGAAAACAAGTAGGAGATCACTCATCGCCTGCAGATGTGTGAAATGTGACACTTTTTACAACAGTGGTTTTCGAGGCTGCTTTTGACTTGGCAAACTGAAAACAAGTGGCCACAGTTCATGTGTAAGAGATCACATGGATCAAAATGCACAGAAACACTCATTTTTGAAGACCCACCTCTGCCTTGAGTGCTCTGGATGGAGGACTGTAACTATAGGGGCCCCCCAAACCCACCTCGGCCTGCAGCACCCAGCAAGTCCCTGGCCTCGGCGAGTCAGGACGTTCTCATAACTGACTGTGGAAGGGACTCCTCTAAAAGCTTGTTTCAGCTGGCTTTGCCAGCAGGCTTTGCTATCTTAGGGGGCTAACAGAAGAAATTCTCCTTGGAAATGCAAAAATATGCAATTTCCATGCATGATGATCAGACCAAAAATGTCAAAATCAACTGAATAGGAATGATATTTGACTTAGGTAAATGGTAAACAGTCTTCTGTTTACGGGCTTTAAAAACAGTTTTATTTTATATATCTATATATAATAGTTTATTTTTACATCATTCTGTGCATTTTTTCATCTCAGTTGTAATCCCTGTGGGCTTCCCATCACCAAATCACCCTGTGTCATCACCGTAGTCCAGGGCACTTCCCTCCTCCACTGTTTTTGATCACATTCCCCATTCCACCCCCACAAAAATGTCTCTGGTATATAGCTGTAAAAAACAGCTTTATTTTTTAAGGTAACGTTGGTTTACATTGTTGTTTGTATTTTGTAAGTACGGGTTCCCCACTTCGGGTGCTATCACCACAGCGCTCCCACCACCAAAGCGCCCAGGCTTAGTCCACCCCATCTTCCATATGCTCCTCTCCATTTTGCTCTGGTCTTTGCCCCTCTCCAACCTCTCCAGATGCCTCCATTCTACAGTCAGTTTTCAAGGGTTAGCTTTGGAGTTTGGCTATATCTGATCCATTGTCTCTATTCTCCACCCATAAGTGACACCCTCCAGTATTTGTCTCTAACCTTACAGAAATAATTTTACAACAAAGTTTGCTTCCTCTGCTTTTATGGGTTTGGTTTTCTTGATGATCACTGTGGTTTTCAGATGGTAACTATGTTAGACTACAGAAGGGGTGGGGAACAAGAAGTTCTCTGACTTTCTGTGTGGTTAACCTCGGTAAGAGAGATGCAGGCTCACTTTGAAGTCCACTGCAGAGAGGTCCTGTCCGTCAGGTCAACTCAAGGCACCAAGCACTCCCGGTCTCTGAGTGCCAGCACCCAGTCTTCTGGGTGAGATGCCCCGGGTCTGAGTTATAACTCATTCCTGTCTGTTTTGTTCAGGCAAGAGACAAAATAGGGTATTATGGAATTCTGCAGGATTTCCCAAAGTGTGTACAATCAAGAAATCAATGTTTTAAAATAACTTGGTTTTTTCAATAAAGAATTTTCTTTTGAAGTAATTTCAGTAAGTTGCAAAGATATTTTTTAGCATCCATATACATGTTCATTCACACCCCAAATGTTAGCATTTTATCAGTTGCTTTTCATTCTGTCCCTTTCTAAAATATATGCATATGCCTTATTTAAATTTTTTTCAGAGCAAGTTGCATTCATAAGTCTTGAGTCCTAAAAACTTCCATGTTTTTGATTACATATCCAGACTACAAAGGTTAAAATAAAATTAATCTTGATGTACTGTTTACTGATCTCTGTACCTCACTCATGTTTTGTCAGTTGCCTCAGTAATGTCGTTGATAGCAAATGAAAAGCTATATATACACAGGCATACATGAAATGGGGATCACTGTGTGGCTTAATCTCAGACATTGACAATAAACATTAGCGTATGGAAGATTCTGAGAAATCTTGCAGTAAAATTTCTGCTTAACCTTGTATGTGAACATTGCAGAATGATTATTTGGTAATTAACAATTTAATTGCATTTATTATACTTTAACTCCTATGCCAGAGAAGTAAGCATAAAAGAGCAAAAAGGTTTATCTGTTTCACTCTTAGTAAGCCAAAAAATGTAAAGCAATCTGCTGTCTCTATATACTTTTTTCTCCTCCATCTTCCCTTCCCACCCCCATACTGGTCATTGTTTAAAGTCTTCTGGGGAGTCCATAGTGGTGGTTTTACCATTGGGGGGGATCCAGGGTTTTGCACCTCTGTACTTTTTAATAACAAAGTGATTTGAGGTTAATTGTTGGTCCAGTGTTAACTCTGCACAGCACTTCCCTTTTCAAACACTGCTACACAGTCATGTCTCAGGCTCTAGAGACGTTCCCAGATTCTTCTCCTTTACCAGTTTGTTGCTACAAGAATGTGTGTGTGCTCTCACCTGTACGCTGTAGTCTCCATGTTTATCTTTGAAGATTCGATATGTGTAGACAACATTTCTAAACCTGTGGAAAGAAGATGGTGTGAATATACTGTCCTTACAAGCAAATACATGATTTGCCATGCTTTTGTCACTCTGCTGTCCACTTAAGACCTTCTCATCCATGGGAATTTGGAAGAAAGAAGTTTTTAAAGGGGGACCTTACTCTAATGATAGAAGTCTGGAGGGTAAAGAGAGGCAATTTACAATATCCTGTTACTCCCACCAATTGTTTTTACTTAGCTCTAGGTTGCTATAACATACAAAACACCCTTGAGTCAATTCCTGTATTGTTTGCTAAATTGAGTATCCTTGACATCATTAAAGATAGTAAGTATAAAACAGAGCACATGAGACATTTTGTCCAAGGAAGTGTATATTGGAACAGGTGCCATCGAATAAGTAATCCAACTAGAATTTAGGTAACAGACCCAATCTAGCATTTTTCCAAAGCCTGCTGTATATTAATTACCACATTCAACTGCAAGATGTCATGATTGTAAAATACACTACCTCTTTAGAATAATTTTCCAGGAGAAATATGTATACTTTGGGTGTCTCTATTGACTAGTCAAAATGTTCTGATTCCGCAAAAATATTAAAATGAAAAAATGGGCCCTCCCTGGTGGCGCAGCGGGTTAAAGCACAGCACTGAGAATCTAAAGCCGCTTCCGCATGAGTTCGATCCCCGCCTGCCCCGGAGGTGACCACATGGTGTGGCAGACCTCTCCTGACCCACCCCTTGCTCCCCTCAGCAGTGTACTTCCTTGATCTGCCTGTTCTGCTCCCCACTCTGTCTCTGGTGAAGCCTCTCACCCTCCACATCTCTGGCCTGTACCCCAGTTCTGTATGAATAAATAAATAAATCTTTAAAAAAAAATAAAATGAAAAAAATGAGTCAAAGATACTGACATGAAATTCACACTGGCTGATGGACTCAGCCTTCCCTTCCCCACTTGCATCCCTATCAAAGAATCAAATGGCTGCTCTGATTGGGAAGTAAGATAACTAACTACTTAAGGCTTTAAGATAGAGAATTCACACTCCTTGCCTGGAGGCATTGACATTTGACTTCTAATCCTTTTTGTGGAGTTTCCTGGGGCCAGATCATGGCATTGGTGACCACCCCTCTTCTTTCTCCCCTCTCCAATCACATAGCAAACAAAAGTTTTACTTGAGTTCAATCCACCTGTGACAAGTTCTAGTATTGCATGGTCTGGGAGGAGGTTTCAAATGTCTTTTCAAAGAAGTGTTGTTCAAATTGAGCCTAAACAAGGTCCATACACTGCATTTGTTTGATCACATAGTTTGACAGCCAATTGTCATTTAGTCTATATTAAATTCTTAAATAAATTACTTTTTTTGTAATACACAATTTAATAGAGTATATACAATTAGGTCATATTAACAACCTAGGGAAATCTTCACTAGGGAAACATGAAGGAATAAAACAAATGGAGGTACTATGTCCATTAGTCCAAAGTCTTGTACTTCAAGTTTTAAGAGTGAGCAATTCTCAAATATGGCCTTATTCTTGGCAAAATATTTTAAATAACAAGCCACATTATAATACTTCATAAGAAACTGATTTATGAACTTATGACACCTATATTCATTTGTTTTGGATTGAATTTTACCCAAAAATACTATCAGAGATTACAGAACAGTGAGACCAGATTCTAGTTTATATTATTGGGTAAACATAAAAATTTAGTTTTAATCCTCCTTGTTCTAATTGTTATTTTGTAAATGCCACTTTAAACATTTAAAAGAAACATGATTTATCCGTATACTTTTACATGGAAGGAAGATAAATAAGATAACTGAGTTTCCACTCCCTGTTTGTAACAAACACCCCCAGCATTTATAGCCCTGCTTCCACTCTCTCTGCCTTGACTCCAATGGGCTAACTTCATCCTGCCATTAACCCTGTTTAATTAGTCATTCCAGAATCCCCAGTCTTGCAGATGATCTTTTTCTCCTGCTTTCTAATCATGCAAGAGTCTACAAGCCTTCCACTGTGCTTGTTGGAACTCAAGGCCCACCATTCAGTCAATCTGTTCTCGAATACTCTAGACCATCAGCCTGTTCTCTGATCATCACCATCACCTGCTAGCTCTGAAGGTAACCTGGTTTGGCTGGGACACGGATTCCCTGCTTCTTCCTCCCATTTTCTCTCACTATAGGGCCTGCAGGTGAAGCCAGTGTTCTCGCTCTCAGGCCCTTTGCTCTCAGTTTCACATCATTAGATTCTATCACCTACTGATTTTTACTGTGAGTGACACTTTCCGATCCTTGGGTTATTTCCACTCATTTCTCCAGCTTTTAGCTTCCAAATCACTACCACTATCTTGGCTATTTCTACTACCTAAATCTCCAGGAATGTCAATTCACATGTTGATTATATTTTAAAGCTCCAGTTTCTCAATTCCTTGAACTCGTCTCCTTCAATGATCTTGTCCTTCACCAACATCAACCACTCACCCCCATGTTCATAACCAGGACTGGGGCTCAAGAAAAAAAATGAAACCAGAAGTTCCCTTGTTAAAATTATTAAGTATTATGAGATGGCAGCAGAAGTACATTAAACCAAGTGCACTTGGTTGGAACTAGCCCTGCTCATAATGTTATCAGGTAGGGTGAGGGATACCCTGGGTCCCCAAACCTGCCTGCCCTTAATGGGTTCTGCCATCTGCCACAACAAGACAAAACATACTCTAGTGTGTAAGACCTTCAAAGGAAAATAAACTTAATGCAATTAGTGTGCAATAAAGATAAGGGAAAGGGAAAGAAAATCGTTTCCAAATCAAGCATCCAAAGTTACCGATCCCCTTGTAGGTAAATGTCCACCTAAACAGGTTAGCCCAGAAGCTTGCCACAAGTCTAAGTCATTTCCTGAGGGGAGCCCATAGGAAAAGTGCAGAAATGACCAGGCAAGTCTGGAAGTAAAAGAGCAAAATCAACACCAAGAAAAAAGGCTGCCATTGTCAGCTTCCCCGTGGTTCTCTCAGCCACATCCTTTCCAAGTGTCTCCTTCCATGTCTCCCAAATCCCTATACAAGTCCAAGGCCAAGAAGCATGTGCAGCTTCTCCACATGTCACTCTGCTCCACATGCCTCCTCCAGGTCTTCTTCCTGATCTCCTTTCCTTCTCCCCATCTTTTCTAGCTACTCCCTGTTCAGCTCCATCCTTCCTTGGGTTGGGCAGTGAACATGGAACCAAATCTCAGGGAATCCCTGGGGGTTGCCCCGTTACAATAATGTTGAACTTATATTCGCCAATAACTGTAGCCCTTTCATCGTGCAAGTTTCATGTATCCCACTCTTACCCCTACTTCTTGCCTTTCCAGATTCCCTCGTCTGGTCTGCTACTGTCAACAATCCTTGACCTTGTAGATCCTCCAATTCATTAATCTATACCACTTTTTACTGTCCCTCACTCTTATGGTTTCATCTTCCTCTTTTCCTGGCTTAACTACTTTCCACCACTGTAATCAGTCCCTCATATATCCCTTCTGTTCTTTTACCATCTTTTATTTTATTTACTCAATTAGCAAAATCAGATCCCTGACTAAGCTTAACTCTCTAGAGCTGTGGAAGGAGCCCCCCCCCACATAGCCATGTTGACTGGTCTCTCTTTAAATTGATGACCATAAGCTTCCAAGTGGGCTTTTAATCCTCCAATTATTCCCTTCCTTATTTTCCTGAATAGTTATTCTACACTGTCTCCTTTCTTCTTAGATGCTCAATACCTCACACTTTTTCTTTTCTTTTCTTTCTTTTTTTTTTTTTAAAGATTTATTTATTTATTCATACAGAACTGGGGTACAGGCCAGAGGCTCAGGGGTGGTGAGAGGCTTCACCAGAGACAGAGTGGGAAACAGAACAGGCAGATCGACAAAGTACACTGCTGAGGGGAGCAGCAGGCGGGCCAGGAGAGGTCTGCCACACCATGTGGTCACCTCCTGGGCAGGTGGGGATCGAACTCATGCGGAAGCGGCTTTAGATTCTCAGTGCTGTGCTTTAACCCGCTGCGCCACCAGGGAGGGCCTCTTTTCTTTTTTTAAAAGACTTATTTATGCATACAAGAACTGGAGTATGGGCCAGAGGTATGGGGTAAGAAGCTTCACTAGAGACAGAATGATGAACAGAAGAGGAAGATTGACTGAAATACACTGCTGAGGGGGACTGTGGGCAGGACAGGAGAAGTCTGCTGTGCCATGTGGGTCACCACCCTGGCCAGGGATAGAACTGGTACTGCAGTGGCTGTGGCTAGCTTCATAGTGCTGAGCTTTAACCCCTTATACCACCAGGGAGGGCCCTCAACACCTCACTCTGGACAGATAATGCCACTGAGAAGATCAATGCAGTCAGAGGAGAATTTCCAGACATCCACCACACACCTCTCATCATCTATATTCACATACTCTGCCTTTGTTACTATAGAAGAACTTAGCACATTGCACTGTAAAGTAAATCCTATTCCTATCCTATTCCCCTTTCACCTATCCAAGGGTATAATTCTACTGATTTTTTCCCCCTTCTCTCTGACATCATCATTTTTCACACAACCAGGTAGTCCTTTCTAAAAATGTGAGTCAGTTAATATCATTTCTTACACAAAATCTGTTTCTAGAATGGTCAGTTTAATTTTGAAGAAAGAAGTTGGCAAGAAGGAGATGAGGAACAAGAGAGGAGAGTGTTCCTGTCTTAACAGGCCTCAGGTCTTCTTATAAAGCAAGGAACTGGTCATGGGTAGAAAAGATATCAAGAATAAAATAGCCCAGAAACAGATGCATGTATGTATGAAAACTTGATATATGACTGAGTTGGCATAGCAAGAAGGGTGGAAGGGGATGAACTATTTTTTATTTTACTTTATTTTAAATATATGTGTGTGTGTGTGTGTGTGTGTGTATTTACATCATTCATTTTATGCATTTTTCCACCTCAGTTGTAATCTTGTGGGCGTCCCATCACTAATTCACCCGTGTGCCATCACCACAGTCCAGTGCTCTCTTCCCAC